TGCAGCACTCTCTGGCCGAGAGAAAGTTCACAAACCGCGAAAAGTCCAACTCTGGGTGTCCAACTACTTTGAGTGGCAAACGGCTGAGTTCTTCGAAAGAGGAATCCATTCTTTGCATAAACGTTATCAACAAGACATTGATAGTAATGGAGATTACTTTTGAATTGATCTTGTTTAATTTCGTTTTTATAATAAAAAATTTTTTAGCCTTAAACGCGTATCAGAACAACCTAATAGTATTGTATATCGCGCATGAAATGGAAAAAAGTGAACAACCGAAAAGATTTTCCCGACCTTTCGGTAAAAATTTTCACAACAGCCGACCTCCCTCCTCAGCAAACAAGTGCAACCCGGTGATGGGCTTTTTCTAAAGTGGTGTGCCTAGGCGGACCTGCTGGCCTAGATGCTGGTGATGTATATTAAAACAACCCGCTTGCTGAAGTATACTGGGGACAATGTGAGCCCGTCAACTAGGTGGCATGTGCCAAAACACGACGGGAAGTGCTTCCACTGTAACTTCAATTAACAACCAAATGTACTGGATGGTGGCCCACGGTAGTAATTATCACCTTTTATAGACGGGCTCTATAGATGATTACAGTTATATGTCGGTGAAGAGCTCAAACAGAGCTCTGATGTAAAAGGTTCGAAGGAGTATATGTTCGCAGACAGCAGCAAAGGAGAGTAGGAAACTGAAGCCTCAGAGATGAATCAGTCTTGCAACTCTAAAGCTGGCGGAGGTTGAAATTGGGGAAATGAAGCTTTTATAGGAAGCAGCTGTATTCTGTGAGTTTGAGAAGGCTGATAATGCAATGTAAGTAGGTTGAGGAAAACCTCCATAAATGTTGGAAAGGCCGCACTGACCCTAGCTCCACTTACCTCATGAGGCAATCGAATGTGCTGAGTCCCTGCGGAATGTGCTGCATGCTTGGCTTGGTTGTATTCAGCAGGTGTGCCTAAAAGTGGGTTTTTTTCTCAGAGTCAAGGGTTGAGGGCAATAGGGTAGTTTACCCGCTGGCTGATTTGTGTACACAGTATGACCTCCGGGTGACGTGAACGCTTGGCCGTTGACTTGTTTGAACTGCCTAAAAAATATTGTAACCTTAGTACCCTTACATTTGATTTTCACACGCAGCTGTAACATCGAATGGTTTTATTACTTAATACTCGCAATAATAACAGCAGTAATCGAAGTAAAAACATTAATAATTCTGGAAGTGCCGTTGGAAAGGCAAGGGCGACGGGGCAATTGACGGTAGAGAGAGCAAATTAAAAATTTTGAGCTACGTTTGGGCCTTTCTGGACGGCGATCTGGTCGAAAAGTTAGGCCGTAAATAAAGTTCTACCTACAAACCTCGTTGGCGCAGAACTAGTGGAACATCACATTAATAATTGTTTGTATTAACTGTAAATCAGTATCCAAGTGCTTGCTGGAAAAGTATTGCCAATGTTCTTTGTAGACTCCAAAATTTTTGATTCCTGATCTATGGCTACGATGCATGGTCTATATCACGGCGTTCATGAGGGGCGTCACCCCAGACTGAGTTGTGGGCGCGGCGTCCACAGATGTGTTAAAAAAGGCAAGATCGGAGTCACCCCCCCCCCTCCTTTCGGCAGCGTTCTAACCACTAGCTGTTTTCCCCTTAACCGATCACTTGCCGATAAATATAGGTTGGGAAAGAGCCATGGGCGGGCTCATTCCGCCTCTCCTGGCACCGCTAAGACTGATTGCCAAGGCACAGCATTGGTTTGGGGATTTTAGTCAAGTCTGTACGCCCCCCCTCCTTCTACTAATTCTCAATTTTCCCCAAGTTCCTGCCACTTTCTCCAGATTTTTTCGAGAACTTCCCTACTTTTTCCAAAAATTTTGCTGTCGAGCGCGGAGGGGGAGGGAGGGTGGGAGAGGGGGGGGGGCATATAGTCCGCATGAAACAGGAAAATCACCAAAAGTCAGTCATCACACCTACAACGCCAAAATGTAAATACGACCCCTTCCCTCCCAACAATAACCAAGTGCAACCCCGCCCATTTACAATGTCCGTGAAGCGAGAGAAATCAACTATCAAAATAAATGTTTCCCAGCCCAAATACGGATCCCCCTCCTGGCGGCCGAATGCGACCCCCTATTGGGGATTCCCTAACAACGATGTGCCCTGCTGATTGCAACGTATGAACTATGTATATGCCGTCTTCCGGCCTGCGATAACTCTGTCTCTGTATCTCTGTCGGACATTGTCTGACCGTAGTTGATGGCTGCCCTTTGAAATGACCTGTTGTCCAATTCAGCTTCTTTTTTTGTACTAATCGACTGCACCAGTCTGTGGCGATTTCACAATGATGTGGACCACTTATTGCCATAGAAGTAGAATAATCTCATAGTATCTCCGCAAAAGTGTATACAGCCAGTAACACCTTCTACCTTCAACCACGGCGCCAATTTCATCTCAGCTTCGAGCTTCAGGTTAATAGCTTCCCAATCTAAGAGAAACCCAGGAAATGGTCAGAATACCTTAAACTAGAACGCCAGTACAGTCATTTTCACAAGATGCGTGAGAATAATGCAAAGAAGCTGGTTTTCCTCATAATTAGAATCCGTCTTAATACTTTTTATGTGGTCGCAGTTAATTGCAAGCTCCTCTTGTCACGTAGGGAGAATGGGTCGCAGGGCGTGGCCCAATGGACGATCGCGGCAGGGTCAAGCTTGACGTCCGCCAGCATGACTTATACCCTAAAAGGTGTTCCCCTTTCAAATCATGAAACCAGGGCACGCCATTGCGTTGCTGATCCGTTTCCGTGAAAAAATACGACCCCCCCCCCTATCATATCTCAAGTACGACTCCTCCTCCCCATGTAACCTCTTCCCCTAAGATTTTTTCCAACCTCCTACCCACTTTTGTCTATTTTTTCCAAGAAATTTTGGCACGGTTTTTTTAACATGAACTTTGCCTGAGCGGGGGGGAGGGGAGGGTCCAGTACCTACGTACGCGTTCCAATCACGTCCGTCACTCTGGCCTGGTGCTAGCATACTGACAAACGTACGAGGAAGGGGCGATGAAGGAGGCTACGATCACCGCCCACAAGGCGCACCATGAATCTTATAAACAAAACAAAAGGCTACGACGTGACGATCAATAAACCAGATGAAAGTACATTCTCCGGACTTTTCTGATCGTAGGAGCCGTTTGCTGCAGTTGGGAAGCCCCTATCTAGAAGGTTACACACTTCCAAAAACCTGGCGTGAAAGCCCCCCCCCAGCATTGCAGGAGGTGATGCCAATTGCGGCCCCAATGGCCTATTTCCTGATACCCTGTCGCGAAAAACATGTGTTTTAGAGGCATCCAAAGCTTCAAGCCAACTGGCATGTTTCATGGTCTCCGGAGGGGCTGATTTTTCATGCCGTGGGGGTGGTCCACGGAAATGATCACAACGGGAATTTTTTCGAATAGCAGGCCTGGAAGAAAATAAAAAGCCTTTGCTGGGAAAGTAGGAAATCTCTTCAATGCTTCCGGCACAACGCTTTTTCTTAGGAAAGGCCGTGTATGAAGGCTTGCCATGGAGCGTAGCGACTACGCGGTTCGCAAAATACTGATCACAGACCGGATTACAACGTAACAACAACGGAGAAAATCTCTGGAGTCGAACGTTTTGACATCGCTCCATTCACGGCTTGCAAGAAGCCAACCTAAGCTCCTACTCATCTCGCCGTTTACCCTTTCTCTTGCTTGAATTATTGCTTCTGTTATTTGTTCTGCTTCTGAACGATTGAGTTTTATTTGGTGTTTTTTAATGTGTAGGGTATTTTTTTTTCATTTGTGTTTTTGTGCTTTTGATTTATGTCTCTCTGCTCCTTTGTATAAATAGCGCGTCATTCTTTTTTTATCTTTATTATTTTGAGTTCTTTGTATTTGATGTTTTTTTATTTCTTGTTTTTCGTTATTACTTTTTTTCGCTTGACGCTATCAGTGTTTTTTTCTTTTATATTTTTATTATTTATTTTTCTTTATTTATTTTTTGTTATTGGTTTTCTTATTTTTTTTGTCTTTCATTATTTTTTTGTTTTTGGTTCCGTTTTGGGTCTTCTTCTTTAGCTGTGGGGCTCTGTGGGTTAGTTTTTGTGTTTGTGTTTTTTTGTTTGGTGTCCCTGTGGTTTTTTGTCTTTTTTTTCTATGTTTTTATTGGTTTTTTTTTGGACTTTTATGGTGGATTTGTTTGGTTTTGTTGTGTGTAGTTTGTGTATTTTTTTTTTGTTGACTTGTTATTTTTCGTTGTTTGTGTTTATATATGTCTCTATGTTTTTGTTAGTCTATGTTACGCGTTCTCCAGTGTATGCTCTTTTGTTCATTATGGTCTTTCTAGTATTTTTGTCTGTTTTGTTTATTTTAGTGGATTGGGATTTATCTAGACCAGATGCAGGCAGGTTAGTCTGGGCGAAGTGTCTCGACAGTTTTTTGTGAGGAAGGATTGATAAATATTTCATGCAATATTTTTTTTTTTTTTGGCTTATGGAATATATTGTAGTGCTTCGAGCTATATTTATTGCATCTGTTTACGCCTTTTGAGCTCTTTTACTTGTACCGCTCCTCCCACTTCAACATGGGGCATGCGTTTACGATCCCCCCCTCCTCCATCGCGGGCAACTACGACCCCGCCCCCATTGTGATGATACAGAAGATAGCGTGCTCTGCATGAAACACGATCAGGGGTAGGGGCTCTAAATGATTATGAGACCGTTTGTAGCAAGGATTTCGGGCTTCTGATGAAGGCCGAAACGCAAACGAAGAGCCCCACTCAATTTTGTGAAGGCTCGAAGATATGTAATAATCCTGGCATGATGGTTATGTAACTAATACTATCATGCCATGATTGTAAGAAGTTTCAACGGTGACACGCTGTATCGTTTGCAGGGATCATGACAGTACTAGTACGATTGCTGTGATGGTGCTGTCTCCTGCTGAGTGGGAATATTGACGATTATCGTACTGAGGTTGCTGAATATTCACAGTCGCTTGCTGAGGAGCAAGTTGGCGGTTGAAGTGGATATGGCTGTAGTTGCTGTTGAGGGTGCTGGAGTTAGAACTGCTGTTGCTGCGCAGTCTGTTGCGCAGTTGGAATGGAAATGCTTGTTGCTGCTGCTGCAAATACTATAATGAAATAATTGAAAGAGATCTAGCTTCAAGGAGTATTCCCCACTTGCTCAGCTCAATCGAAGGCTGGCATTCCTGGCCTTCGGGAGACTTTCTGCTGAAACGACCTTGCCCGCTGCCAAACCGTTCTGCTATGGTGGGACCCCTATCCGAGGCCAACCGACAATCATACCGAACTCTCTCAGAACTTTTAGTTTCGAGCGAGGGTAGGGCAGACCCCCTTTGACCAAGCCTCATGCGTGAAACGGGAAAGTGAAAAATCAGTAAATCACAAAAAAACTTAGATCTCAGATTCGATGCCCTTCTTTTCAGCGACACGAATTACCACCCCGTTAGTAAACCCAATGTACAACGTGCCTAGTCCTGGTATATGAAGCTATACCTCTTGCGCACCTTACAAGCTACAGAATACTTAGTGCTCTCAGGTGAAAGGTGACCAAGTTGGCCAAAAATGGGATTGAGCTCACCTGCTGGCTGCTGTTGTTGTTGTTGTTGTTGTGTTTGTTATTGATACGGGAGCAGGGGATGAGGAGGTGAAGGAATGAAATGATAAGGATGATATGGATGCGTTGGTTTGTGCAGCGTTGTATTGCGTTTGGTAGTGTGGATGTGGCCAGTGTTGATGATGGAAGAGCTGGAAAAGTCTCTGTCACTCCTCTCTCAGTCTCTGTCAGTCTCTGTCACAGTCTCTTGTGAGAATGTTTATTCGAGACACTCCTTATCCCTGAGATGGAGTAGGCGGGCGCGCTTGAACATATCACAGAATGGGTTACTCGTGCAATATTTCAGGTTGAGAAAACTGTCATTTGGTAAGTGCTGGACAGAGACAGTGACATTGCGTCAAAATGAAAATATCTCTTCAAAAGCAACAACCCCTTCCACGTTTAGTTGAAGTACGCATCCCAGACTAATCACATCTCTGGGATTTCGAACTGTAGAAGCAGTGTAGCATATACAGCCTTCCGGACCGTTGTGGATGCATCCTTACAAACCTACTTTTCGCGCGCGACAGCACTTCCTAGAAATAGCAAAGTCTATATAAAAATGGGGCTGGCGCTATGTCAGACCTAGTAAGAACGCTCACCCAACGCTCTGTCAAGCGCATACATAACTTCTCGAATTTCGCACCATCGAATGTCAAGTGATTTGCGTTACAGGCAGTACTTGCTAATAAAAGATGGGTCTAATAAGCGACAACAGCGTCCTCTATCGCCTGCAAAACGTGACCAGTGCTCTATACGCTGCGACAACGCCCTGCTTATACAACTCCTGTCGCCTCTACATACGACAGTGGGTCCTGCAACGTTCGCTTGCAATCGCTTCTGAGTTCACTTTACAGCAGTGCTACCAGCGCCTACCAACGTCCACCAGCGAACATTAGCTTTCAAGCGTTCCGGCAGCGTCAGCGACTGGAAGAGGACAGATATCGATCCCAGCGTCTGCCATCGTCCTCGCCAGCGTCAACCAGCATCCAGCGTTCCCAGCGTCCGGGACTAGATATGAAGATGTGCGAGGTGCAAGCAACACGCTGGATGCAGAGTTGTGAAATTGCGGGGACCCGGGCGATTCTATCGTCGGCAAGTCAGGTCACGTCGCGCACATCGCGTCGCGGCGTCTCGCGCGGCGGCGCGGTACGACAATTCCGGAGTTGCCTTACCGACATAGAAATGAGTCTCGAAGACCGCGTATTCACAAGTTCCGAAAAGCCCAAAACTGGATCAGTAATTTTGAGCAAATAAGGTGGGACCATCTTACACCCCTTTACTTTTGAATGCGGAAAAAACAATCATTGATCATTATAGGAAAATGGGAAAAGCAGTACAGGATAAACATAAACAATATGGTTTGAAGATTATTTTAACAATTTGAACGAGCACGACGCAGCAGGACTCGTACGCGGCGCCCACCAGCGCGGCGACCCACTTATCATCGACGATAGAATCGCCACACACCCGAAATTGCGGCGTATGCTGGCCGTACCGCACAACTGCTTAAGCACAGAATTATGCAATCTAATGTACGGTATAGTGTAGCTGTACTCGCCGCAATTAAACGACGCATAAAAGCATAACCCAGCTGTTTCGTACTCTCTTACTTCTCTATACTCTCTGCTTTCGGTCGCTGGTGGACGCTGTTCAACGTTGACGGACGCTAGATTGATACCTATACCTCAATAGCCCTCCAGACGCTGGTAGACACTGCTGTACGCCGCAACAAAGTATGAACGCTGCATAAGGAAACACCTCGCGAAATTCATGGATGTAAATCGTGACCCAATTCTGTTAATACGTACCAAATTATTCTGAGGAGTTGTGAACTGCGTCTGTGCTGGCACGAGCTCTGGAGTCGGAGATACCGCCGGCCGATGAATAGCCTTGTCGGTCGGAACTGACGCAATCTCTCGTTGCAGTCGATTTGATGCAGTAGGGTCTAGTTGCGGTTGTAAAAGATGAGGGTGCAGGCCAGATAGAGAGGGAGTAGCCAGTGGTTGAAAAGTCTGAAACTGTTGTTGAGGAAAAAAGCTGTTTCAATCCCAAATCTTCTAAAAATCACCGTTGGAGGCACATTTGTGGCAGAAACGGAAAGATCAGGCAATTGTCCAAGCTGATGCCCCTAGAACTCATGTTGGTTTCGTGTCAGCTTTAACAGTGATTTGGATTCCGTTGGTCAAATATAAGGCACCTGGTCAGGAGATCCTAAGTTTGTCTGGATTTCACGTGACGCTTTAGCGATGCGTTCACGATTTTGGTGTTTTTTCAACGGAATGTTCTGCACTGCTGAGGAAAAATCAATCCTTGGTGGTGATGGAACGTTCTCGTTGTCCTCAATCTGAATGAACTCGTTGAAAGGAGTATTAGGACAAGACAATCCTGAAGTGACCCCTCATCCACCTGTGAAATGATCTCTGCGATATCGGAGTCCTTGAGGTTACTTCGACGCAAAACTTTGATAAGCTTTGGAAGATTTGGTACACCACTAGGGAGTTTTGCGTTCAATGTCTTTGCACCTGATTCTCGATCTGGCGCCAGCTGAATAGAAATTCGTGGCTTCTCGTCTGAATCTAACGACCACAACTACAAAATGAATTTTAGAAAACTAAAAAAATTCAAACGTACCAGGCTTTCATCGCCATCATTCTTGATCCTGCTAGTTACCTGTATCCTTGAATTACCATCGGTTTTCACCTGGAAATTCTTCTCGCTGTTGTTATTTTCTGAGGACTCATTCCGGAAGGGAAGTGCGTTGAAAATATGTCTCTGGTGGAAACTCATAGTCAGTTTGAGTGATATGGCTGCGCACCGTACAGAATATGACTGTTGAATCCAATTAAAGGTGTGTTCATATTTCGCGGCAGTTTCCACCAGCGTCCCGAGGGTCCAGTAGCGTCAGCGACTAGGAAAGTATAGACATGATATAGCGTCTGCCAGCATCTACCAGCGTCTGCCAGCGTCCACCGCGACAAGTTGCGTCTCGAGGGCTAGGAAAGTATAGGTGACGGTCCAGCGTCTGCCGGCGTCCACCAGCGACCAGCAGCTTCCGGGAGTGGAGAACGGGGCTATAGGAGGGCAGCAGATCGCTGAAACAGTGTGGGATAGAGTAGCAGACAGCTGGTACCCTCCTACCTCCCTCCTATCGCGGCACACTTCCACTCCCAGACGCTGCTAGACGCTGAGGGACGTTGGTAGATGCTAGCAGACGACAGATCGACACCTGTACTTCCCTAGCCCTCAGGACGCTGCTGGACGCTGGCAGACGCTGGTAAGACGCACAGACGCTAGATCAATATCTATACATTTCTAGTCGTTGACCGCCGTACGCTCGGAACGCTGGTGGACGCCATTGGTCGTTGGTGGACGCTGCGTAATGCATGAACGCAGCCTAGGATGAAGACTTTCTGATCGCGGAAACAAAGGAAACGTCTACAAGCTGCGCATTCAGCAATTCGGGAGTTACATACATGAAACTGTAAGAAATCGAGGAGCTCTTCGCTACGAACGGTAGCAGGGCACGTCGTACGTTGGGGATTCCCAGCGACAGTATTTGATCGCTGGTGGGAGGCGTATCTGCCTTTGAGAAGAGAGTTTTAGGCTGCTAACTTTTCGTGATTTTTCTGTTGCAAGTGCGCCATACAGCGTTACCTCTTACCCGCTCAAATCCACTTAGCCGCTCGACAGCCGTTTCTGGGGAAAAAAAGAGCTGTGTATTAGGAAGTTTAAAAGTTTTGGAAGAGGGAGGGGGGACATTTTGCAGAGTTTCTCCCCAACGGCAGGACGTGCCCTGGAAAGCAGTCAACACAACGTACCTCATCAATATAGTCGCTGTCTCTCTGTTCTTGAACGTTTTGTGGCAGCTCGATACGTATCTCTTTCACTGGGCCTCGGGTGGTCGCTCCAGCGTTCGATTCCAACTAAAAAGGCATTGTTGTGATGTCAAGAGAAACGCAGTATTGCAAAACGAAATTGCTTGTGAATCGAGTAATATTTGTATATTTACCCATATTTACCCAGAGTAGTGAAGCGCTATTTCTCTTGGCGCTCTAGCTTTTCCCGCTGGGAGTGATAGCTAAGAGCTATCTTGTTAGTTTCTCTTACGATGTACTCAAAGGCAGAGTGCACGATCACTTATATAATTAGCTAAACTCATCGTCTGCACAAGTAGTGTGCACTGCAGCGTGCAACCCTGTATAAGTCCCAAGTCAGGAATGGAAGGTAGCGGCGGTAAGGCGTAAGGTTACTCAAGTGACTCCGCCCGAGTTGATAGATGCCTTGTTTATGCTCTCCTTCGTTTGCATGCTCTCTCGCTGTTTTCTCTGGCCCCTCTCTCCCACAACCACATCGACCGTTTTTCTTTCGCGTAGCACGCGTAGGGCCTTATTTCGAGCCTTCTTGACAGATTCTTTTCTTTTTTTCTCCGCTAGTGAACCAGCTACTCTATACAATTTTGGTTCTCAACCACGCTACCCACGATTTTGTCGCTGGTCATCGCGAAGCCCGCCTTTAATAGGATGCTTGGAAAATTTTAGGTGATCCATCATCATGTAACAAAAAATTGTGCTGTTGGGGACCCGTTGCTAACGGGTTAATAAGGTTAGCATTCATGAATCGTGAATGCTGGAAGGGTTTTTTTGCATTGAAAAGAAGAGCTTTATTCGCACGGGTAACTCATGGTTTCCGTAAGGAATCAACATTTGAAGCTCTCCCGGCTTCCCAGTTCCTTCAGAGCATCTTCTTTTCAGAAATCGCGCCCTTCAAACAAAAAGAGTTCTTTAGCGAGGTGGACGCGTGAAAGATTGATGGAGCCACTTTCCAAGGATTCACTTTTCAGGTACAGGTTTAGGTTTTGGCCTGGTCAAGGTTTTAGCTGTGAAATGTGGACGAAGTCGAGTTTCACTGGACACAGTGGTTTCCACGCTGCGAATTTCGCCTGCTCCACGCCACATGCAAGGACGTCGATGTTTTTGACCGCTCCCACATCTTAAGGATATCAGAGATCGAGCAACTCTTCCAAATATAAAGTCAATAAGGAGCTCTATACAGTGTTTTGCCTTGTTATACAGTATTCACAGTTCAAAGCAAGAAATGAGCTTCATGTCTCTTACCGCCTCTGGAAGCAGTGTAGGTGGATTTGGTGGACGTGTCGGCGCTGTAGTTGGTGGGTTGGTGAACTCGTCAAAGTCGTCCTCGTCATCGATATTGACCAGATTGTCGGGTTTTTTCGCAGTGGCCTGAATGAACTACTTCGTTAAGAGCTGTTAACACTGATCCCCCTCTTTGTCCTTAATCGGTCTTGCAATCAATGTCAACCATCCCAATTCCCAAAAAAATTTTTTTGAAATCTAGTATCAATTACTTCAGCTTTCGTTCAATACTGTTCGCAACGGGATTCCTTGTGGACCCTACACCCTTGTATAAGCAGTCACTAAAAGGGTTTCCTCTGGAAGAGACACTGATACCGAACAGCTTTTGATGTCTACAGTAGAAAACGTTATCAATTCGTGAAAATCAACCTACAGCTCCATTCACATTGTTATCCTCGTAATCTTCTACGTTGGGTGCAGCAAAATCTTCAAAGAACCTTTAGAGCACAACGTGAAGGCAAATAAATAAAAAAGGAAACTTCGATTAATGAAATCACGACAAAATAAGACATGCTGAAAGCTTACTTGTTCCGAATTCTGGCCCAATTTGGCTACCGGAGGCTCTACTGGGTCCAAGAGCGCCGAAATTTGATGGACCACCGAAGCCAGCCATACCGCCCATAAGTTGTCCTAAAAAGCAGTGCTTCAATCAACTATTTATCCATTACATGCAGAATTACAATATAAGAGCGGTAAGACACTGAAAAGAATACGCGAAATAATTAATCCACAGGTGAAATGAGACAGTTTGGGAGCAAGACCTGCGGGCACTGTGGCTTGTTTGTTTTGCTCTGCTTTATCTTTCGCATTTTTTGCCAATTTACTTCAGAAGCTTTAATATTTTTTCTTTCATGGCAAACGGTTCCTGTAGTCACTAACCGATCACCATTGCTAGAACAAGGTAGCCGGAGGCGGTCTCATACCTAGCCCCTGGCACCGCCCCCATAATCGCTACACCATCAACTACACATGGTAGTCCTTTCAATTTTGCAGCAAAGCCGAACAGAACCTACAGAGTTCACAATTTATTTTCGTTTAGGATCCAAGCCGAAGTTCACTTTCTTCTTCTCAAAGTGGTTTTCGGTTTCGTTCAAGTGGACAAAATACAGAAGAAGTGTTAACTGTGCCCAATGATTCAGCCCAGTCGTAGCGACACGCTTTTCGTATATTTACCAGCAAAGAAGATAGCGGAAACAAGCAGGCCATCGCGACGCCCGGGATAAAAACGGGTGCCGACGATGATGGATAGCAGATCCACGACGTAGATTCGCCATCGCTTGTGGAATATGACGGAGAAAAATCATTGAAAATGAAAACTAATTGACCATGATGGAAAAATCGGACAAGACATACTGGAAAGTCGAAAAAAAGTCATTTTGGATTGATGGTTCTGGTCGTAAAGAAACATGACAGGATGAGGTGAAAGGTACAGTAATACTTCCACACTCACTTCCATAGGCTCAGTAGAATCTGTTTTTTTTTCTCAAGACATCGATGAAGTACCAATCACTCGTGATAACAGGAAGCTGTTTTTGTTACTAGTAACACCACAGAAATCGCGGCTTGTACCGCTGGTTTTCCTTGTATGACGGGACCCGGCAAGGTGCTCCTCCAACAGGTTGAAATGCTTGGGCGATGCAAATCAACCTTCTCATAGGTATATTTGGTCAACGCTCCTTGCCATCACTTTCATTACTCCCAAAACTATCACCCAATTGCATGATCCTCTTTACGGCCCCCTGGCCTGGAACCGAACCAAGAGTTTCTGACCTCATTCCGCCTATCTCTGTGCACGCGCCAGTTACAACGGGTTCGCTCACCTATACGAACCTTGGCCCGGTCTTCGAGATGTTCTGGTACCGTCATCTATTGTTGATGCTGGCTCTGCACACACCTGCGCACGCGCCGCCCACTGCTTGTGTGTCTATCTGGTCTTATTCGCCAATCTACTGCTCACCGTTACCCCTTAAACGAAATGCTGTGGAACAAGTCGAGGCTTTCAGAATTAACGTCCCCCCTAAGTTGTCCGCCTACCCCTTGCTGACATTGATCCAATTTATTCCTGGACCTGGGCAGCTCTCGATGCAGATTGCAAAATATGGAACGCGTAGTGCATAGAAAGCTCCTAGCTCACTGTGGGTGAGTTTGAACACACCTCAAGTACACTCTGTTCTCCTTAGGTGGTACTCCTATCATTTACAAATTTTTATCAAGCACAGCCAGTAAGCTTGCGTTTGAGCTCCCTCAATTTCAGTACCCATTCCTGACCGCCATGCGGTTTTCCCTATTTTAAGCCTCTGGGCTGCTCTGCAACCAAACTACGTGTTTTCTCCTTTGACACCGCTCGCCTTCGGTGGAGGCCCCTACTGTCGTGGGCAGTCGGCAGCTTGGTTCATGGGTTTTGCTTGAGGGCATTTGACACGATATCGGTACTCAGCCTAGAATGCTAGCAAGGCGCTATCTAAAGGGAAAATGGCGAAAAAACGAAGTGAAAAGGTCGAAATCTGCGAAGAAAGGCATTCGTTCCTAAAAAGCAGTTCCGGACGAGTTTCCCGGTTATTGCAATTTAGGCAAATTGCAAATAACCGCTACGGTAGGTGCGGCTGCATGTATTTACTCAAATATCCATTCAGCACCGCAGCCGCTCCATACCGATCCCTTCGCTTCATATTTTACTTAGCAAATGAAGCAGTACGAGCATCAGACACGGTCGTCCATTTGTGGGCGGGCGGGGTGGGCGCTCGGGTCTGTGGCTTGATAGGACATTTATAAGAGTACCCTCCTAGGAAAAATCGCTGTGCTGCTCAAGGTCGCCTTATTTCGCCCTGCTAGGCGTATCAATCCTACTCGTATTTGAGTATTTATCGTGCCAACTGCCTTTGAACTTTTGCTCGTGCCGCACCCACCCCCCTGCCTCTCTTAAACGATCTTCCTCAAATGGCTCATCAGGTGATTCGAAATCTCTGGGAGTCAGTGATTTATATGTAGTAGTGATAGGGATAAATGCCCATGAAGAACAAACTGGTTGCTGATACCGCCTTGTGGCTCAACGGAACGAATATCTCTCAATGCTTCGGCTAATATGATGAATGACTTAGCTGCAGAGCTACGCAATAGGAAGCGAATGGCTTGGGAAGCGTTTAGGAATATCGAAGGAGCAGTGAAGAAGATGAAGAGCATTCCGTGCCCGGGTATGTGACAAGAGGATCGTAATTCGCCGCGCTGCTGGGCGTCGCATACGACGTCCCGTCTGCAAAGGACGATGGTTCCCGGTAGTAGATGGCTACAACATGTAATAAGGGACCGAAAACAGTAATGACTGTCAACGATGACGGGGTCTACATGAAGTCCGGTGCTCCGTTCGACAGGTTAAAACAAGTTATGTAAACGCCGCGCCCATCGCCGCGCGTGGCGGTGCGGCAAATTACGATCCTCTTTGCCGTCTCCCTTCCGTGCCCACCCCTTCGATCCCCTTTCTGCCCTAAGGTCTGTCTCAGAGACCTGCTTGCCAGGATCTCAAGCAGCGGGATGAACATACGGTAAGCGCAATTCAACGCGTTTTACGATCAAAGAGCAATGCTCGGAGAGACCAATGACAGAGGGAATCCGGAGCTCCGCACTCGGCCAACGATCGAGGATCAGGGTAGCAGCAGCAATTACCAAGGTTTCGAAGATCAATTGGACCAGGCGCGTCATGCTTTTCGAGGTTGACCGCTGGACCAGAGCGATTACCAACTAGATTCCACGGGATGTCAAACGAGCTCTTGGACGACTGTGTATTTGATCGTCAGACTTCTTCGTGTAAGCATGCACTCATGGCATAATACTCATCGTGTACCGCGACCTCAGTGAACTGGCTGGATAACCCTAGCGCGTTGCAAGCAACAACGGAGGCGTTACTGGCGCCCACTTGAGAAACTTGGTGATCAGCGGAAGCAGAGGTGGCAGGGATAACGATAAACAAGACAGGGATCGGATTTTGCAGTCCTGGTGGAGTACAAGAAACTTGAACATCTGGGCTTAGGGTACTTCATGGCTCGAGAATTCTATCAGAGTCGTGTTAGGTTGTCCTAATATTCTTGTTCAATTCTCGACAATTTTCTATATTGAATTTTTCTTTTTCTCTCTTTGGAGATCACTGTTATGGGCAACCTGCCGAGTATGGAAATGAATCGCCCTAGAGCATTGATTGGATGTCTCTGTTGCAAAATGGAAGAAGCCAGCGATCGAATTACTGGAAGAGTGGTTGCAGTTCTTCAGTTCCCCTCCTCATGAGATGTTGGTCAAAGGGGGGGGGGGGGAGCAGAAGGTAGCCCCATGTAGAAACACCAGCGCTGTACGGTGAACGCGTCACTATGTTCCATTCCGGTTCTTCTAGATCGTTGCGAATTGTTTCTGGAGTGGAAGGTCAAGTGCCATTATAGGAAAGGGCGAAACTGAGCGGTTTCTGACGATTTCATCGCTTTGCTGATACCAGCTTCCGGAACAGTCAAATGTAAGTTTTTTACTGACAGCTTGCATGAGGTCGAGCTTTTCACATGTAGCCGGTTCCAGAAAACCAAGGCATAATCCTTTAGAAGTAGGGCCCTCGGAAGGCTGCTGCTCTCTAGAGGTCCCTTTTCTCATCCTTAGTGAACATCCACTTGACAACGTCCTGCTCAAGCGAACAGACAAGAAGCCTATTGAGAACAGTTGCGAGAACTGGACGTGATCGGGACGTTACTTTACAATAGCCCAGCCCATTCAGGACAAGCAGTGTTGCAAAGTTGGTGTTATCGCGATGCACTCACATTTCATGGAACGCTGAATTCCTCCCCACCCCCCCCCCCCGTGCCCCCTCCTCACACGCCGAAATAGTCTTCTTTGCCGGATGGCGAGAGGTGAGAGTGGTTCAACGTTATTGTGATAAATGACAGAAGTGGCTAATTATGGGCGATATCAGCGACTAATCTGTTGCTTTCTCCGAACTGCCCTGAAGGGTAAAATATTCCCAAATCTGACTGCATTGATTATAGGAGCTCATAATTACCAGTACCTGGAGTATAAGTTCCTTTACATGAAGGTTGATACTTGTGGGTTTGAAAGGGAGCTACTGGGATTACCTCGCAACCAGTTTTGATCTATACTATTGCAGACAGCCTACTCATCATCTATTTCCATCCCCCTTAGCCTTAATTTCAGAAAGGGTGGATTTTCGTAATGGTCAGGTATCAGATCCGCCTGGGAAAACGGTACTACCACAATGGAGCAGGTCCAAGAAACTTTGTTCACTTGATTCGAGGGAAGCCCAAAAATGTAGGTCCCTACTGATGTCAAATCACAATGATAGATCGTGTACAGTTGAGTAAATTTCAATTTAGTGAGTCTTCCTCACTTCACGAATGATGAAAGGTGGATTTATTGTGACCATCCGTTTCTACGAATCATTCGTAATCACGGACGGTCAAGTGGAGCGCTACTAATCTTCAGGAATAAATTAACCCGTCCAGTTTCCATAGAACCTTCATGCTGGCTTTCGATTTTGGCACCAGTTCCCAGCAAGTACGACTCATTATATGTTGGCCCAGAAAAAATCTACATGTATCAGAAAGTGCACTTTTTGGGGGTATTCAAAGTTCGATAAGGCCACGTTTTAGATAGTAATTATTGAAGGCACTGAAAGTCGGCGCGAGAAATTCTCAAAAAAAAATCGATATTCGGGCATAGAAGAAGAGAAAAGTTACAAAAAATCGTAGTCAAAGACTTGAAAAAATTCTCTCTAAACAACTGTATTATCCCTCACCTTCAATTACTGTACATTCTAGCTGCTAATCAAAAGAGGTGAATAATAACTAAAACGTGTTTCATTTAAGAGGAGGCTGAGGGGTAGTAAACGTCTATAAAACCAGAAAACCGAAAAAAGCCAGCAAGTGGAGAAAGATTTCCTCACGCATCGGAAATGCTTCAACACCACATACGTAACAACCCATTGGTCGAATATGACCCTTCCCTCCACGATCAGCCTGCTCTCGAACAGTACAGCACTCTAGCGAACGGAGACGAGAAAAATCAAGAATCAAGAGAAATCTCCTAGAAAGCACAAAAAAATACGACCCCCCCCCTTTCCAGCGATCGAATACGACACCCTTGTGCTTTTACGGCGAGAGTATGCCCCATGTCCGGAATAAGTCTCCTCCCATATCTCGTTAATTGCCATGTTGATTGCTACTGCTAATTGCAATC